TGTACCATAAAATCAATAAATCCATCTGTCCTAGGCACAAGTAACACTGAAAAACAAATCACTGACATTCAAACAGTTGGGTGGAAAATACCAGCAAGGAGAGAAGACATATGAAGCCTGAAGTCTTAAGCAGACAATGAGACTGTCACAGTGGTCATCAGCTGCATCTCTTCCTTTCCTCTGTGCCAGTTCAGGAAGCAGGCATTGAAGGGACAGCTAACCTGAATGATCTAATAGTTGCCTAAAACTACTCAAAGGGTAGGGTATTTACCACGACAGTGGAGGCAAACTCATCTCCATGATGCTACATGACATAACAAGCAGCAGCAGTGACAGTCTTGGAAGGTTCAGGAAAGTAAAAAATGTGCCACTGGTGGGGCAAAGCAGGACCAGACCAGGCTGCCCATAGAGGCTGTGAAATTTCTGCCCTTGGAGGTTTTCATCACCTGTCTGGAAAAAATCACAGCTGACCTGCTTTAGTGCTGGTCACAGTCCTGGGTGCAGCAGGAGGCTGGACAAGACGACCTCCAGAGCTCCTTTCCAAGGAACACTGCATGACTCCTGGGCTCCCGTGAGATCATCATTTACTTCCAGCTAAGAACAAGCATAAGTAAAGGCAGTGCTATGGCCAGAGTTTATGAGACAAAGACCTTCAAAACCAAAAAATCCCTATTTTTATAAGTATTAGCATAGGTGTATTAATCTGCATGCTAACACAACAAAACACTGCTGCTGCCATAAGCTGCATTTCTGGACACAGAGGTACCACCCCCCTGCTCTGCAAAACTGTAGCATAAGGTGGTGGTTCTCAAAGACAACTGAAGTGAGCAGGGACCTGCATTTATTGAAAGAACCTAACAACAATAACAACTGGAATTTTCATTTGAACACAGTCAAGTTTTTAGAAATACATTACCCACTGAAACTGAACTGTTAATTCATTTACTCAACACTAGATTAGCCCCACAGCTCTAAAAAAGAGAATCAGCAAGCGTTCTCCAACACAAGCTAAGTTCTGCCGCTCTGGAAGTAAAACTACAAAGCTGCTGTCATTCTCCTAAATCCATTCAGATATTTCATGTCAGACACAATGAAAACTGAAGCAACAAACAGAAAAATTGTAGTGCCTTTAAACAATCTCCTCCCTTATAACACATATTCCTCCTTTAAATTGGCCAATATTTTTGCCTCAGCCCTTTAAGCCTCCCAAGCTAAAAAATATGTGCAGAATTCAATGCAAGTGACATGCCACAACTTCAAAGCTAGTGACAAAAAATGACTGCCATTTGAAATTATGTCTTCCCTACAGTCAAGTTACAAGGCAGATGCATATAGATTAAGTAACTCCTGTAATACTAAGAACAAATAGAGATGTACAAACCATGTCATCCCCAGCACAGGGACTGTATGGCACATCCTCAGCTGATCACAAGCCCAGCTCTGTCTGCTCAAGTGAGCCACACAGATTTACTCCAGACAAAAAGGAAGACCAACCCAGACAACGATTTAGCTGTCTGTCAAACAATCCTATGAGTCTCATTTTACATCATTTGCATCATAAATCACAGAATCATGGAGTGGTTTGGGCTGGGTTGGGTGGGACCTTAAAGCTCACCTCATTCCACAGCCCTCTGCTGAGGGAATGGACACCTTCCACGAGCCTCATCCAGCCTGGCCTTGGACACTCCCAGGGATGGGGCAGCCACAGCTTCTCTGGAACCCTGTGCCAGGCCCTCACCACCCTCACGAAGAATTTCTTTCTTCTATCTAATCTAAACCTGCCCTCTATCAACATAAAGCCATAAACCCTTGTCCTATCACTACATGCCCTTGACAAAAGTCCATTCAGCTTGTGTCAGCATCACCTCATTAATCCCAGCCACGGGGATTTGATTTCTGCCTGGCTGCTGCTGGAACGTGTCCTGGCACAGCCCGAGCTGCACGGTGAGGCCTCGCACGTGCCTTCTGCAGTGCCCACGGACAGAGCAGAGATGCTGCTCCAGGAACAGCCCAGCACAGGCACTGCTCCATCTGTCACTGCCCTCCCAGCACCATCGTTACCCTGACCTCTGACTCGGAGCAGCTTTGGAGAACAGAGCCAGCTCGTCCCCACGCTGCCTGCAGAGGAAGCCAGCAAGAGGGGAGATGCTGTTCACAGAGCAGGCAGCAGCCCTGGAGCCCTGCACACACACAGATGGGTACCTGTGCTCCTCCCCACTGAGAGACACAACTGCTTCTGCAGGAGAAAACTGGGACCAAGCCCTGGCTCATCACACTACTATGAGGGGAAGGATTTCATCCCACTGTATATTGTAAAACCCAAATTATGTGTGTATTTTATCATTTACAAGGAAGCCACAGAACTCAAAGGCACAGTGAAGACCTAGTCATCTTCCCCACTCCCTTTCCTGAAAATGCAGCATTTCACAGCCTTTCTCTGATCCAAGCTCCCCTTCCTCTGTCAACACGACCAGAGTTCATTGAGGATTACTATGATAACAGACTTGTACAAGCTATATACTTTGGCCTCTGCCTGCCATTAACCCCTGCTGGGATGGCTGGTATTACTCAGCTTAGTTCTGCCCCAACATAAAAAAGTAACTACAGCCTTGCAGAAGCTGTACAATAGAATTGTACAGCACTAAGCACCTCTTGTTCTTTTGTAACCTTTTACCACTTTCTTTAGTCTTTCAAAATCTGAAATAGGTTTTTAAACAAAGGAAAAAGTCCCTTTTCCATGAGAAAAATGAAAAGGAACTCCATTTTCTGTGTAAAAGAACAACAAAAAAAGACTAAACTGCCAGTGATCAGGAAAATGCACAAGCTTTGGAAGTGGCAGAACAGCCCACCCACACCTTAATGGATGGGTAGAAATCTGCTGCTCCATTAAAGAACGAACAAACCCTGCTCAGGAGCATAAAGCAGATTTGACCTCTCAGTTCACGTTTCATGCTTGCAGCTGGAGACAGTGTTACTGTTTGACACCCTTCTCAAATGTGCAGGATGTGTTCAGCTGCTGAGGACAAAGAACTCTCTATGAACACTTTCAATTACAGCAGATATGACCCAACACAGGCCTCACATGGCAATTTCTTGGTATTTGATGTTCCCAGCCCTCAGCCAAATGAAATACATTTAACATGAGATTTGTCTCTTAAAATCTGTTGCCCCAAGTGTGCAGTGTGTGATGGTCTCAGGGGCCACCCAAATCTTGGACAATCACATGAGCATGTCTGTCTATCTGTCACAAGCCAATCCCACTACTGCTGAACACCACAGACATTTTCAGAGAATCTCTGTAACCTTGGAGAATACAAGGCTTCAGCTGAGTACCAGCTCTCTTGGAAAACTCCAGAGATGCCTTGTTCAGCTGTCAACCCTGATGTAATGGCTAGGAGACCACAAACTGTCTGGCTCAGTTTCCAGTTTATGTCACAAGACCACTGTATGTATGGGCATGCAGTTTTCAGTGAAAATACACCATGCCCTGCCCTCCCTCCCCTGCAATAATGGACTTATAAAAGATGCCATCCCATGCTGCCCCTGGTATGAAAGACTTTACAATGGACTATTCATCAAGCAATCTTTTATTCTTCTTTTACTAAATTATTAAAGCCTGTGACTTACACAGCTGCACTGCACAAGCTTCCAGCACCATTTGTTACCCCTCTAATCACCTCAGCTAATCATTCTTTTGTGCTGATTCCTCTCTCCTACAAATTACCTGGGAGTTGTCCACATGCATATTTTATACTTTAGAGAAATTAAGGCAAGAAATCTGCTGGAGGTAAGTTTTGTTCAGAGAAATGGTCAAATTAGGGAAGATATTACATTAGTGTCTTTAGTAAACTTGAGTTTTTCACACACACTGCTCATGACTGTCTGAGGCTGAGGCAGTAAAATGAGAGTCCCTCAGAGTGATCTTCTGATTCTGCAGTCCCTGAGAATCTGGGATGTAGCTTTGAGTTCCTTGAGTCACGTTATTCCAAATGCTACTTTGATTGAACAAAGTAAATAACATCAGTAGTTTGAGTCTAACAAGGTGACACTTGCAACAGTTTGAGAGATATTAATTTTAAAGAACATACAAAGTGACATAACAAAATTACACAGAACAGGAATTTCTCTGTATTAAGATTTAAGCTTCTGCCTAAGCTCCTTCACCAAAAAAGGGTAAATAATCCTCTTAAGAAGCCTTTAATGTCAAATTACACACCAATCAGTACCTACAAACACTAAGAGCTACTAAAAAAGGCAACTCAGATGTACCTGGATTAAATGCTGTCTGAAGCAAAGTAAGATAAGCTTGAAAGTTCTAACAGAATATTGAATGCAATTTCAGTGCTCCAAGTTGCTCTCTCCACCTGCTTTATGACAGGGATCAATTCCTTACACACTCAGCCCGCAAACCAAAGAAAAAGCCCAAGAAAACACAAAAAAAAACTCCCCACCACAACAGAATAAATATAGTAAGTAAAATTCTACTTAAATAATTTGGAACTGTGCCTGAAAAAAGGCCCACCCCAAACACAGAAGTCTTTAAGTAAAACTGGTCTTATAATACCAATTTTTATTCAAGATGGACTGAAAATAAATATTTACTATTACTTCACTCACCCTGGAAACAGAAAAAATATTCTTCTTGGTCTGTATTAAATATTTTAAAATGAGCTGCTCTAGCTTACTTCAAGTACACATAAATTTGAAGGCAACAGAGATTGTATTTGTTGTTTTTATGTGTGTGCATCCATACACAAATACTGTATGTATAAACCATGTACATACATGCTGTGCTGCCACCTTGTGAACAGTCTCTGAACGGGGAGGTTCAGTTCACACAGACTCAATTGTGCCACCTTTATCCACATTTAGCTCAAGTGACTTTAATATAGGTACTTTTTAAATGGGGACTCAATGTGACAAAGGATGGCTGAATCAAGTGCTTAGGGCAGAAAAATTTAGAAGGCTGAATAAAATAGCTGAGTCTTCCACAATTTCCATATGCTTTTGTGTCACAGTTTATTGCCATAACTATTATGAAAAAAATAACTAAATTCTTTCTGATAAAAATATTGCAGCTTTGCATCCAAGTTGTATGGCTGTCTTCAAAACAGAATAAGCTGGTGTCTGTAAAAAGAATAAAAGATTAAACACATTTACTGAAGTTCTTTGCTTGAACCAGATTGTGATAATGAACAGTAAGCACTATTAAAAAAAAAAAATCAAAGTAAAACCACAATCATGCCAAGAAAACCCCACCTGTATTTGCAGCCTAGTCTATCCTAGAGAAAACTAAATTAAAATTTATCAACTTCTCAGAATATTCCCATTTCTCCACAAATGTAAGTCAAGAGAAAAAATAGACATCACATATTTCCCATACAGTATCCAAGGGAACACAGAATTTAGTTTATTCCACACTTCCTAATAAGATGATGCCTCCAGTTCCCAGCACTGTATGGATAGCACTTATTAGCCTTATATTAAAAAATATTTAATTTAAACTGAAATTAAAAGAAAATCTAAAAATTTGCAGAGGACACCTCTTAGGAAAAAAAATCAAAACACTTTAACACTTCAAATTTATTCCAACAGATTAAGTTCTGTTCTAGAAAAATGAAAGTTATAACATGCAGGACATTCTTATATGTATCTTTGGGAAAGAGTATCAAGAGCCTTATTTTCTGCTTCTCAAAGAGCCACATCCCAATCTCTGAGTAAGGCAGGTAAGAGCAGCACATCCACATCCTCACTGACAGCATCATTAGTCAACATTCTACTCACAGCCTCAGCATCGTGCTCAAGCCCAATGTCGTGGTGCTCCTGCTCTTCATCCCGGAACTGCTTTATGACCTGGAAAAGCAGCAGTTCATTACCTGCAAAAACTGCTTTATTACCTGGAAAAGCAGCAGTTCATTACCTGCAAAAACTGCTTTATTACCTGGAAAAGCAGCAGTTCATTACCTGCAAAAACTGCTTTATTACCTGGAAAAGCAGCAGTTCATTATCTGCAAAAACTGCTTTATTACCTGGAAAAGCAGCAGTTCATTACCTGCAAAAACTGCTTTATTACCTGGAAAAGCAGCAGTTCATTACCTGCAAAAACTGCTTTATTACCTGGAAAAGCAGCAGTTACTGACCTGCTTGGCAGACAAAGCAAGGCAGCCAGCACACAAAACTAGATGCTCTTGTCCATTATGTGCACCATGGCAAGCCAGAGTCTCTCAAAAACTTCTCAAAGATCTGAACCTCCAATTCAGCAAGAATGGAATTATTTATAGCATTCCCCTAACCTGAAGTTCTTCTGGTGGTCTCCAAAGAAGTCTTTAAGTTCAAGCTGCTGTTTAATTAATATATCACAATTTTTTTTCACTGTTTCAAAAAAACCTATAGCCATAGTAACTTTTAAGACTGACAAGTTTCAGACCCCATATTATTGGGACAATTTGAATAAAGGAATTAAGGTCCCTGCCTTGCCAATCAGAAGGGTGTTCCCCTGTAAACTAACCAGGTTTTTTTTGTCCATTCGAGCATACTCTAAAGAACAATTGTTTGTCTTCTAATTTTTCAGCTGGGACAAAAGGTTTAGAGGATTTTCTCCTGAGATGCCTGCAGGTGACAGGATTGCTTAATGAAGAGCTCAGCACTTACAGACACCTGAGCACTGTCCCTGCCCAACAGGTTTGCATTGCTTTTGGTGTCCCCTCTACTTCTCCTCATATTGGCACTGTGAGTAAACTCCCTGTCTGGATTTTTCTCTTTATTTTGAGCCATCTCTATCTATTTCATTATATCATTGTCTTCAGGGGTGGTATTTCCCTGGTGCACCTCAGCACAACTCCAGTTACTTCAGAGACAATTTCTGTAACAAAAGGATACACTGGAATAATCAGATTTTGCTACATGTTACACTGTGCACAACTGAACACACTGGTAGCCAGCAAGGCTGGAAATGAACCAGTTCCACGTGCTGCCTGTGGAAACAGCTCAATCTGCCACAGCCACTCACAGGAACGTGTCCCAGTTTGATACCTAAAATGCTTGGGAAGTTAATTTCTCACAGAGCTGACAAACACCAGCTCCTTACACACTGAGAGCATCCAGGACTAGAAGATGGCCAGGGTGCTGGCTGGCAGCAGTGCCAGGAGGGCAAACCCCACCCTGGGGTGAATCCAACACAGCAGGGGCAGAGGGGCTGGAGGGGGTCACCCCGAGCTCACCCTGAGCACTGTGTGCAGCTCAGGTTAAGCAGCATTTGAAGGTACTTGAAATGCCTTCACAGGAGGGCAACACAGCTACTGTGCAATTCAATATTTCCTCCTTTTGTTTCCCCTCTAGACCCTTCAATTAAAACTAATCAAACTCAAAGCATAATTGTCCCACATGAAAAGGAACCAGTGCATTACTGAAAGTATGCTGAAGATAACCCAACACATGTTTTAATTTTGGTGCTTAATCAATTCAGTGCTGCTGAAGGAAAAAGCATCCTTTTATTTTAATAGTTTCTGTTGACTTCAGCATTCTAAGTGACAGAACAAAAAGATCCACTGTAAATTCTAAAAGCATATTATTTTTAAAAGACTAAATCAAATTGGATTAACTCAATCAATTTGTTAAACAACTTTTAAGTTGTGGTTAAATACCTGCAATAGCTCTTTGTACTTTTCTGGATCCTCTTCTATGAGAGTTCTGATCTGGTTGTTGTAGTGCTCTGATATACTCTCTTCCACAGCCACTGTGCAAGCCATTGCACCCTTCTTTCCAAGCAAAGCACTTCCAGCCCCTGGGGTTGGGGTACCAGACACATGAATACAATGAAATCTGAAGCAAAACAAATAATTTAACACAACTGAAGACTTCACAAAACAACAACAACAGTAATTATCCAAACTCACCTAAAACAAAACCTGCTACGTTCCAGAAAGGCAATAAAACAGTGGGTCGAACTCTGTATGCAACCATGAGCTCATTAAACTTTTTCAGGTGGTCTTTTTCTTGATTCCACATGTGCTGCAAAAGAGCCAGACCACAGAGAAGCATAAAACCACAAGAGGCAAACATTACCAATAAACTAATAAAAAACCAAAACAGCTCAGGATACATGTGCTGTGGTAGCTGAGGCAATATTGTAATATCAGAGAGAAGAAATGGTGCAGAAAGGCAGGGGCAGATGGTTACAAAAAGGACAGAGAGGGCAGTTATAAGAAGGTAACATAAAACCATTTACAAAACAGGACAACAGTACGGTAACTCCCTCACCAAGTACGCCCACACTCTTTATAAACCCGCACGTTTGGAAGCGCTCACAAAAAACTGGACAACAATCTTGCCACGAAGGCTACGATCGTTCACCACCACCCGGCCGCTGTTAACCCCACGGAAAGGAACCAGAGCCTCGGGACGGCTCACCTGGATGACGGGTGCCACGCTGGACCTGCCCAGCACGGCCATCTGCCCCGCATAGATGCGGTTCGCGCCGAACTCTCCCGCATGGTCCACGCGGATGATGCGGTCTATGACGGGCTTGTTGATGCCGCCGGGCGCCCCCCGCGTGCTGCGCGGCCTGAGGGCAGCGCCCGCGCCGGCCACAGCCCGCGCACCTGCCGGAGAGACAAAGGTGACGCGAGCTCCGCCGCCGCCCGCTCCCCGGCCGGGACGGGCGGGTGGACGCCCCCACCCGCGGAGCCGAACGGCCTGAGGCGGCCCCGGGCGGCGGGACGCGAAGCCGAGCCCGTACCCGGCCCGCAGCGGAGGGGCCGGCGCTGCAACAGCGAGCACCGCAGAGCCGAGGCCACCGCCGCCATCGCGCTGAGCCTGACGTCATCACCGCGCGCCGCCCTGTCGCGATTCCGATTGGCTCCGCGCAGCCACTGCACTGGACAGCGCAGCTGTCAATCAAAGCCAGAGCCCTGGTTGCCATGGGAACGAGGCGATAGTAGCGCTGGGGGCGGGCGGAGGCAGCGCTGAGGGAGGGGCGGTAGCGAGTCTTGAGGGCGGGCCGGAGCCGCGCTGAGGAAAGGCCGGAGCCGCGCTGAGGGCGGGCCGGGAGCAGCGCTGAGGGCGGGCCGGAGCAGCGCTGAGGGCGGGGCGGAGGCAGCGCTGAGGGCGGGCCGGAGCAGCGCTGAGGGCGGGGCGGAGGCAGCGCTGAGGGCGGGCCGGAGCAGCGCTGAGGGCGGGCTGGAGCCGCGCTGAGGGCGGGCCGGAGCAGCGCTGAGGACGGGCCGGAGCAGCGCTGAGGGCGGGGAGGGAGCAGCGCTGAGGGCGGGGAGGGAGCAGCGCTGAGGGCGGCCGGAGCAGCGCTGAGGACGGGCCGGAGCAGCGCTGAGGGCGGGCGGAGGCAGCCCCAGGCCGGCCCCCACAGCCACAGCGAGAGAACGGAGCCAGGAGGTATGGTAAAATAAATAGCGTTTATTGAACGGTCATTCCTTTAAACAGAAAACATTCCAAAATATTATATTAAAAGGATAGTGTCTCACATTAACTAAGAGCGGACTAATGCAGATTTCAAACAATAAACGCAGCTTTGTACAAGAAATCCTTAATCACAATATTTAAATAAAGGACTGGGTTAGTGCCTACAGGGACACACGGTTCTCACACATGGTCCCAGCAGTTCAGGAAAGTCAGGGAACATGAGAAATAAGGGGTACTGACACATGGTATTGCCAACCAATAATTTAACTCTGAAATATTCACATTTTAGATCACATAGACCAGTAGTCAAGATGTTCATACAAGAATAAAACACAAATAATAATGACTTAAAATGTTAAAAAAAAAAAAAACACCAAAAACAAACCAAAAGGCCCCTCCACAGCAGCAAGGCTGGTGCCCCAGCAGTGCTGTGCCTGCGGGCTTCTTCCTAACCCAAGTGTTTATTCAGAGCTCTTTTATCAGTTTGTTTTCTCTGAACCATTTTATGATTACTTATCCAGTGTTCAACTGCTCTTTCTACTTCAGAGCAGTATAAATAGCAAATCCTCACCTCTAAAAATATATAGAAAACTGCTTTCAAACCCATGACATATTTTCTTTTCCTATGCGCTATATCAACATACTTCCATACACACTTTTTTTTAAAACTAAAACAAATGAAAGGCATTGAAAACATATAAAACCATACCCTTTTCCCTCTCGTGATTCTTATAGCATAATTTGTACTTCTTTTTAAAAACTAAAACAAATGAAAGGTGTTGAAAACATATATAAAACCATACCCTTTTCCCTCTCGTGATTCTTATAGCATAATTTGTAAAAACAGTACAAAAGCATTTCAGTTCTGATCACATTTTACCCAAACTCCCTGAAGAAAATAGGGACGTAACAAATCCCAACAACCCTGAAGCTGTATGAGCATTAGAGTATCCTCTTTTGAGCAGCTCTAACACAGTATAAATCAGCTGAATTTCCAAGTTTTGGAAACGTTAAGCCTCAGACCACAAGCACCCATTCCACAGACCACAGTCCCAGGGTGCCAGTCAGCTGCTCAGGTTGTAGAAGCTGCAAATGCTTCTGCTGTTATCTTCTTGTTCTGGGCGTTTCAGGAAGTCAAGTTCTTTTGGCTTGTGTGGTTTTCAAGGCTACTTCTGAGCTTCTGCTATCTTTCTGATTAGGAACATCTTGTCACGACTCTCCTGGAAAGACAGAAGAACAAGAATGCTCCACATCAACAGTGGTAATACAAGTCATCTACAACAGCTCATTTCTTTATTAGAAATAGGTGCAGTCACCACATTTTACCCCCAGCACACTCTCAATTGCCTGAACAATTTCAAGCTTACAATGGCCTTGACTTCATTTATCTTACTTCAGGTTACACATTAACAGTTCTGCATTGAGCCTAGTAAAAACGTCTCACACAACTCAAAATTTAAACCATGCTTCCAGGAAGTTGAACAAGAGCAAGGAAACAAAAATAAAAAGCACAGAAGAATTTTTAGAATTCCCAGCTGATTTGTGAACCCTTTCAAAAAGCAGGAAGGCTTTTGTTCCTAAATTCCTCACTCCTCAAAAATCTCCCCCCAGTAAGTGTTTTTTTGCCAACAGTTGTTAAATGCCATATCTAAAAGAAGCACATATCCAGAAATGGGCTGTTTCCTAAGAAAGTGAGAAGTCTCACTGCTGAGGCTGAGTTCTGACTCCAGCAGTTTGTCACATCACAGCACACGAACGCTGCCAAACCTGGCAGTGGCTTTGGATGGCCACAAAGCAGCATTTCTGCACTGGCACCCTTCTCCAAAGGGCTGTTAGTGCCGACTTGTTCCACTTTCAGTACCTGCTCAAGCACCTCTGGGCCCACACTCAACAGCAAGACCAGAAGAGATGCAGTAGAAATACGGGCCTGGAGGGAAGGGTAGGGAGTTGGGTGCCTGTTTGTGAGGGCAGAGAAGGAAACAGAAGTGGAGGTAGTGCAAGATGGTGGAAAGCACAGGAAACAGGATTCAGGTTCTTTGGCAGGAAAAAACCATGGAGATAAGTGGATTTAAATAATGCAACAGATGAAAAACAGGGACACAGCTTCTCAGGGGCACATCTCTTGCATGTGTGTTGCCTGATATAACCAGACCTTGTTGTAGTTGCAGCTGGTACCCAAGAAAATCAACTCCACTGAGAAATACCACAATGCTTTGGTTATTTTTCCTGGGTAATTTGTAAAACATTCTTTACTGCCTGTTGCAAAAACCAATTATCCAGGAGACTATGAAAACCAATACTCCTCTGCATTCTTCTCATTTCTGTACCCCTAAAGTTCTCTTTGTTGTGTCAGTAAGTGTTGGGTCAGATCTTACCAAAACCAGTTGTTCTCTCAGCTGTTCAACCACTCGTTTGTGTGCTCGAGCCAAGGCAATAACATAGAACATAATGATGCTGTAAACAACAAACAAAAACACAGAACATGATGATGCTGTAAACAAGAAACAAAAAGAGAGGACTTGAGATTTCCTATGTATGTAATAACAAGGTCAGTTCAGGAGAACACATAAATGTGTGCTACAAAAGGAAGGGCTGGGTGGAGTCCTAAATAAGCCACATGGTTTTTCAAGCACAGAAGTTTTAGAAAGCATCAGGTAATAAGGCTCCAAAATTTGCAAACAGTTTAGTTAAACTGAAGTGCAAAAAACTCCATTTAAACTTATGAAAAACACCCCTTTTTATTAGAAGACTGACCAGACCCTGGAACAGTATTGTGGAGTCTCTGTATCTTTGGAGATACTGAAAATTTAACTGGGTATCATTCCTGCTCTACTTGCCCCTGTTTTGAACAGAAGATTTGAGTTAGATTCTCTCTACAGGTGACATCCAACCTTAAAAATTCTATGATTCTACACTCAATTTCATCTTACAGAATGACTGTTTTGGTAGTTTTATTTGTTTTTTCAGACTAGGGTTTTTGGATAGGAGTTGTGATCACAGGGCTTACAGTACTAATTTGCAGAGAATTCACAGTTAACATTTTTGAGAAGGACACTGTTGAACATGGGAAATGCAAGAGGAAATGGAAGAAAGCTGATGAGTGTGAACACCTGGGCAAAGACATAAGGGCTGAGGATTCATATGGGGTTTGATGTTTTTGACTGCAAATGGAAAATCTGGCCTAATAGATGCTTGGTATGAGTTCAGTGAGCAAGGAAATGAAGCTGCATAAGGGAATCAAATGTCCACAGTACTCACCAGAGGATCACAAAAAAAGGCACTGCAAAGGCTTCTGATGCAATGCCAAAAAGGACCTGCTGCAGACCTGTTGGAAACTGAAGTATTGTATGTGGAACAACTTCCCATGAAGTGTTAAAATTCCTGAATGGCCCACATGCCTTGGAAGAGGGGATACTGTCGAAGAAGCAGAATAGAAAGATGTTACACCAAAATGTAAAGATAAAATAATCCAGCACAAACCCAGCAGCAGTTTGGTGATGCAGTAAAAGTGTCCTATATCTACAAAACTGTAATTTTTGTTTATATGAACTAAGCTATAAGTTTATGTGTTATACCCTATATATTTTATTCCATTAACCATTCTAAAGTTGTGTGTCTGCTTTTGCAGAACTGACAAGCTTAGAACAAGTGTCAACTTCACAGAACTTACAATCGTCACTTACCGTGCTATGCTGAATCCCAGAGGGACAAAAGCCAAGAGGAGCCCAATCAACAGCACCACCAGGAAGAAAAAGTTGGAACTTGATGCCCTTATAGGCCTTGCTGCAGGTTTGCGTGTGTGTATCAAAACAATCTGAAGAGGGAAGGTGAGTAAAACTGTTACCAGTACATCTGTATAGATATAATCCAAATGTACTTCCCCCAGCAACTGAATTTTCCATTCTCAAACATGCCACCAGCTACCACACAACCACCTCCTTTGATGTGTATGGGCTGGCTGAGAAGGGCTAAGAAAAGACTGCCTCACATTTTGGTGTAAATCAATGTCTTCTAATTTGTGTAAGAATTTGATTCAGAGGCCCTCACACACTTGCACAGAGTCAACTGACACAGGCATTTAGTGTAGGACCCATGGCACCGCTGTTGGCTTTGTTCTGCCACATCTTCTCTGGATACATCCCTCTTGCAAGACCTAAAGTATCAGCAAGAATTGGAGGCACAGATGGAGCTGTGTGATCACTGAGCAAAACTTCTGATAGTCAGAAATCACATGAACATCCAACCCAGCTTGGATTTTCCATTTTTGCTCCCAAATTTTCAGCAGCTTTGCAAAATTTTGTCCAAGTTCTAAGCTGTGTTGCTAGTAAATAGATTACTGCGGGAAAGTCTCATAAACTAGCTTTGTTACAAAGAAAGCTGTTTAAAAAAAAAGCCAAATAATTTGAGAAGT